ACAACAACAAAAAAAATTGACATCTATGGATCTCTGTTTCCTCATTTGTAAAATGGAGTCCTGGTGTCCTTTCCAAATCTGTACATTTTTAGATTTTATGCTGCCGATTAGTTTTTATGCCACTGTTCTCTGTAGGAAGCAGACAATGATCCGACAGGGGAAGCAGCAGCTAATACCCAGCAGACACTCACTTTTTATGAGCTAGACCTTGGTTTAAATCATGTGGTCCGAAAATACAGTGAACCTTTGGAGGAACATGGCAACTTCCTTATTACAGGTACTTATCTTTCAGAGCTGCTTTGTATCCTTTTAGTTGGTTCATTTTATGCCCAAACCTAATAGGTTTTGCTTAATGGGGTTTGAGTATTAATTCATTTGTGGTAAATCTGAATACCTTGTCTGTCTTTTGGAGAGGTTAAAATTTCATGTGATGGAGTGATTTTAAAAAGTGTTGGGGATAGACTGTCTAGCTCCGTAATAACTCATATTCTCCTGAAGGTAGACAAGTTTAAGGGAGCAGTCAGATTGGAATATTGATTACTCACTGTTGGTTGCTGTGACGGTTTGGCTGTAGTCACTCTTTACTCCTCAATCAAACCTAGCTCTTTGAAAAGTCAAATGAAATGTGCTAAACCCATCAAGGTAAAACTTGTGAATTTGAAAACTTACACAAAATAGAAATATTTTTGAAGATGGTTACCAGATTGATTCAAAAATAAAGAACCTCAGTAGAACAGTATTAGAGAAATTGAAGCAGTAGTTCAAAATCACTCTCCCAAAAGATTTAGGCACATGATTTTCACGAAAGCTTTTATTTTCTTGTTGAGGGACATACGTGTGTTCTGTTTTAAAACAAGTTTCTTGGCTGGGTGGGGTGGCTCACGCCTGTGACCCTGGCACTTTAAGAGGCTGAGGCAGGAGGATCACTTGATCTCAGGAGTTTGAGACAGCCTGGGAAACAAGGTGAGACTTTGTCTCGATGAAAAAACAAGAATTTAATAAAAATAAAATTCCTCCAGAGTACAAAAAGAGTAAATGCTGCTGTGCCACATTATGAGTCTGGTATAACTATAACATCAAAAGTAGGGATGGACAGTAACAAGAAAAATTTGCAGGCTAGTTCATATGGTTGTAGATAGGAAAACCTAACATTCCAGCAAATGAGATTTAATGTTTTAAATGCCCATGGCTAAGGAACGTTTTTGGATGAGCTAAAAGATGGAAAATCTTTTTACCTTTGGAAATCAATTTACCATTGGAAAATCCATATTACTAGTCCATTATATTAAAAGACTAAAGACATACAGCTACATTTGTGGTCATCTACATTTCAGCAGGCTTGGGTTAAACTGGTCTAGTTCTATTTTGAGTCATTTGCACTTGAATTGTTGTCTAAAATAAAATGAAATGTCTTGTTGGCAGAAGATATTAGAGAGTAATAATAGAGGATCGCACTTACCTTTGAGTAATAAATCTTAGAGACTGTTAATACATTGAGCAGATAAATTATGGAAAGTGGATTACGTATTTTGTTACTTGTAACGTATTGCCATACCTTTCATTTGCAAGGGCTTCATCATTCTCTCAACACATTGTTATTGAGCCTTTGCATTCAGTATGCGCTAAGTCAGTCTGCTGGATCTTGGGATTTCAGTGGTGAAAAATTAGATGTGGTGCTTCCTTTGTGCAAGGTTGAGTCTGTTGGTGAATACTGATAACCAAAAAATTACCGGAAACTACCAGATGCCACGATAGCACAGAGAAGAGGTTCCCTAAACCAGGAAAGGAAAGGAGTATGTTAGAGAAAGCTTGCTGGAGTCTCTGAGACCTGAGGACTAGTTAGGAGTTAGCTAGGTGCAGTTGGGGTGGCAGAGGAAGTTTTAGTTGTAGGCAAAGGGAACAGCATTTACAAAAGCCTAAATACAAGAAATAACATGGTTCATTCAAAGAATTAAAAGCTCATTATGATTTAATTTTTTTTTTTTTTGAGGTGGAGTCTTGTTCTATCACCCAGGGTAGAGTGCAGTGGCTTGATCTCAGCTCACTGCAACTTCTGCCTCTTGGGTTCAAGGGATTCTCCTGCCTCAGCCTCCTGAATAGCTGGGACTACAGGCGAATGCCACCATGCCTGGCTAACTTTCTGTATTTTTAATAGTGATGGGGTTTCATTGTGTTGGCCAGGGTGCCCTTTATCTCCTGACCTCGTGATCTGCCCGCTTTGGCCTCCCAAAGTGCTGGGATTACAGGCAGGAGCCACTGTGCTCAGCCTATGATTTATTTATTAAGGGACTGGGGTAGGAGTAGGTGGAGTGAAAGCTACCGAAGGATTCTAAGTAGGGTAGCAATCTGATAGGTAGACACCTTAGAAAGAGTAATTGCTTATGCTTTGGCTAATGGAATGGAGGATACTAAGACTGTAAGCCAGGAGACTGATCAGGAAACTTCTCATTAAACTGAGATATTGGCAGCTGCTAAGGAGATAGAGTCCGTAGGGCTGTGGGAAGAGAGAGAATTGAAGGATTATACCCAGGTTTGTGGTTTGGTCTGTATACTGTTGGGTGGAGAATCCAGGAGGTGGAGTAGGGTTGGGAAGGAACATGCTGTTATTTTATTTTACTTTATTATTGTATTTTACCTTTTTTTTTTTTTTTTTTTGAGATGGAGTCTCACTGTGTTGCCCAGTCTGGAGTGCAGTGGCTCAGGATCTTGGCTTACTGCAACCCCTGCCTCCGTGGTTCAAGTGATTCTTCTGCCTCAGCCTCCTGAGTAGCTGGGATTACAGGTGCCCATCACCAGGACTGGCTAATTTTTGTGTTTTTAGTAGAGATGGGGTTTCACCATGTTGGCCAGGTTTTGAGGTCCTGACCTCAGGTGATCCGCCCACCTCCACCTTCCAAAGTGCTGGGATTACAGGCATGAGCCACCACGCCGGCCTGTTACTTTATTTTATTTATTTATTCATTTTGAGATGAAGTCTCACTCTGTTGTCCAGGCTGGAATGCAGTGGTGCCATCTCAGCTCACTACCGTCTCTACCTCCCGGGTTCAAGTGATTCTCTTGCCTCAGCCTCCTGAGTAGCTGTGATTACAGGCATGTGCTACCATTTCTGGCTAATTTTTGTATTTTTCGTAGAGATGGGTTTTCACCATGTTGGCCAGGCTGATCTCAAACTCCTGACCTCAGGTGATCCACCCTCCTCAGCCTCCCAAAGTGCTGGGATTACAGGTGTGAGCCACCATGCCTGGCCTGAACACACTGTAGTTTCAGAATACCTGTGGAAGTTCATGTCCAGTAGGTGATTTGATGTATTATAGGTCTGAAGATGAGAACTAGATTTGGGCTTAAACATTTGTATGTTAACTAGGCTGAGATCAAACCTTCCATATAAACACAAACTGTTCTTCATCCTTATCTAGTATGAACATAAGGGAAGAGAAACACTTGGAATGTTTCTTAGTCTCTGGCACATTGCCTCATCAAGTTTTGCCAAAAGAGAAGAGGAGTTGAAAGTTCAAGAAATTAATGTCTGTGTTAAAGTCACTGCTAAGTTTTATTTTCTCTGACAGTTCCAGGAGGGTCAGATGGTCCAAGTGGAGTGCTGATCTGCTCTGAAAACTATATTACTTACAAGAACTTTGGTGACCAGCCAGATATTCGCTGTCCAATTCCCAGGAGGCGGGTAAGATCTTTGATATAAGAAGAGAGATATTTGTGTTTAATTTTTGTAATTACAGTGTAGTCTGCTTGTTAGCAAGTTAGTTTTTTTGTAAATTAAAAAAAAAAAATTCAGTGGACCCTGGCAGGGGCGTAAATGTTGTTTTTAATAAAGCTGGTAAAACATTTTAGTAAAAGCCAAACATAATCTTTTAGAAAGAGAATTAAAACTAACCTAATTGCCTTTCAGAGGAACCTATGGACAATTATTAATTTGAAATTCTTGAAAGTTTTTAGTTTGGAGAAACCAAGCATATTTGTTAGCAATAGATTACGTTTTATTGTTTGGCTTTTTGTCCCCAACATTTTATCTTGAAAATTCCAATATACAGAAAGCTTAAAAACAATAGAACTATGACTTCCCACATGCCCATCATTTAGGCTAATCAGTTGTTAATATTTTGCCACTTTTGTTTTTTCTTTCTCATAATATATCAGTACACTTTTCTAGGCTAAGCAATTTGAAGAGAAGTTACAGGCATTATGATCCCTCACTCCAGTAATCTCCTGAGCTAATGGCTCCTGAGAACAAGGCCATTTTCCTACTTAATGAGATTGCCAGTATCATACCCTAGAAATTATAACATTTTGTGTAGTATAGTTACCTTATGTGTGTGTCATATTCATATTTCTCTCATCTCAAAAAGTTTCTTCATAAATGGCCTTTAGTCTCCTTTAGTTTAGGGTATTTCCTTCTCACTTTTTTTTTTTTTTTTTTTTTTTTTTTTGAGATAGACTCTTGCTCTAGGCTGGAGTGCAGTGGCATCATCTTGGCTCACTGCAACCTCCGCTTTCTGGGTTCAAGCCATTCTCCTGCCTCAATCTCCCAAGGAGCTGGGACTACAGGCGCCTGCCACCATGCCCAGCTAATTTTTATATTTTTAGTAGAGACGGGGTTTCACCGTATTGGCCAGGCTGGTTTTAAACTCCTGACCTTGTGATCTGCATGCCTTGGCCTCCCAAAGTGCTGGGATTACAGGTGTGAGCCACTGTGTCCAGCCAGCCAGTTTTCTTATGGTCTGTCCCATAGTCTGTTTCCTCATGATTATATTGAGTTTATTATTTCTGATATAATTACTACATAGGTGGTGATGTATATCGGTGATATATATTCTCCATGATGTCACACATTGTGCATATATAATGTTGATTTATTTCATTGAGATATTAAATTAGTCTCTTTGTTAAGGCAATGCCTGCCCATTGTCTTCATTGTAATGACATCTTTTCTTTTTTGGTAATTCATAATGGAATTTGATGGTGATCTTTGAGACTAGTAAATATCCCTTTTCCCCAGCATCTTTTCACCCAGTGGTTTTGGTGTGGCTCATTTGCCTGAATCAGTTACTGTAATCTTTCCCCTCACCTCTGGATTATTTATTTGCCTGGTGTTTAACTTTAGGATTTTAAGTTAGTTAATCTGATACATAGTATGACATTTTTCTCTGGAGATAGTTTTTGCCTTATGGCTCTGATCAGGCTGTAGAGTGAAATTGGGACTCTTTTGGTTACCCTGGTTTTATTAGATACAGCAGGTGAATTTTGAGCTGTGGACTTCCATTGCTTTGGCTAGCAGGCCGTTCTGGATCAAAGCTTGTGCTTGTAGGCCCTGAATGTCGTGTGTAATCCCTGTTGCTAAAGTGCTGAATTCCTGAACTAAGAAGGACCCATTTCTAAGATGTTGATTGTGTATTTGACTTTGCTAGAATGATCTGGATGACCCTGAAAGAGGAATGATTTTTGTTTGCTCTGCAACCCATAAGACCAAATCGATGTTCTTCTTTTTGGCTCAAACTGAGCAGGGAGATATCTTTAAGATCACTTTGGAGACAGATGAAGATATGGTAAGTAGACCATGGATGGACCAGTACAGCTACTCTATGAGATGAGATAGGCAAAACAGGTAATACTTAACAAGTTAAAATAATGAGAACTTAGAAAGTGGTTGCCCTGGGAACTGGTATATAAGTACAGATTCTCTCTCTGGTTATCAGATTTTTGGTCTGGAATTCTTACATACAATATAATGCCACTTGTAGTGATTATTTTCAGGTGGTAATAATTGGTGTGAAGAGGATAAAGGTTTCAGTTTCTACTGAAAACCGGATAATAAATGTGTTTATTACCACTCTTACTTGTTTTGTCCTATAGAGAAGCTCTGTGAATAGTTGTGCAGTTTCTTAGATAGCTGTTTGGATCAGGAATTGGCAAACATTCTTTTGTAAAGGCCACTTAGTAAATATTTACAGCTTTTGTAAGCTACGGAGTCTCCGTCTCAACCTATGCCGTTACAGCACAAAAGTAGCCATAGACAGTATTGATTGGCATGACTGGCCCATGAGCTGGAGTTTGCTGACCCCTGGTCAGATATGAAATACAGTATTTTATTTGTTACTTCTCCTGTGCTGTCGTATAAATACTGGGCTGACTTCACTTGTTTGTACACCAGAATCTTTCTTTTCTATCCAGGTTACTGAGATCCGGCTCAAGTATTTTGATACTGTACCTGTTGCTGCTGCCATGTGTGTACTTAAAACAGGATTCCTTTTTGTAGCATCAGAATTTGGAAACCAGTGAGTAACCCTTCTGTTACCCTAATTTGCCCTGTTTACTATAAAAATTGGTAGCAGGGGCTGTGATCAGCACTTTGGAAGGCCGAGGTGGGCGAATCACTTGAGGTCAGGAGTTCGAAACCAGCCTTGCCAGCATAGTGAAACACCATCTCTACCTAAAGTAGAAAAATTATCTGGGCATGATGGCGGACGCCTGTAATCTCAGCTACTTGGGAAGCTCAGGCAGGAGAATCACTTGAACCTGGGAGGTAGAGGTTGCAGTGAGCTGAGGTCACGCCACTGTACTCCAGCCTGGGCAACAAGAGTGAAACTCAAAAAAAAAAAAAAAAAAAAAAAAAAAAAA